CTCCCTCCCCCCCTGTCCACACATCATCAAGATGAAGAACGAAAGGAGGAATTCTGGGAGTTGAAGTCCCCAAGTCTTAAAGCTGTCAAGTTTGAACACCCCTGAGGTTTCTTTTTTCTAAAGGGTTAGGAGTACAAGGGTCTTGTAACTTGACAGCTTTAAGACTTGTGGATTCAACTCCCAGAATTCCTCCTTTCGTTCTTCATCTTGATGATGTGTGGACAGGGGGGGAGGGAGCTGGAACCGGTTCTAAATGGCACTATAGATTTGTGGAACCTCTTCTATAGAAGAGGTTAGAACTGGCAGGAAGCTACCCCTGCCTTAGTTATACTGCAACTACAACTCCCGGAACTGTTTGTTAGCAATTGTGGAAATTGTAGTTTCAACATATCTTAATGGAATAAATATGGGGAAGTTGATCTGCATTCCTATGAAAAAAATGATGTTTTAAAACATACAATTTCACTATGTAATGCTTTATTCCAAGTGTGAACAGGAAAAATGGGGGGGGGGACTTTGAGGAGATGCTGACATTCTGAAAGGTTACATTTTAGTAGCTGTGTTAGTATAATGCTTGTTTCATTAAAATGTAATTCAGTCTTTTAAATTTTACCTCTATATTATTAAATCAGTGCTTTATATAATCAGATGATGCTTGCATTTAATCTTTCGATACTTTCTGGCTTAATAAGTAGCTGCTTCAAAATTACTCATTGTTTGAACTATTTTGTATTTTATTATAATCAAAAATAGATAGACAATGTTTCTTTATTATATTAGTTTAGTAAATTATTATAAATGTTTTAGAATGAGTGTTTTATATTAGTTATAATATAGTTTAATGTTTGGGAAACATGATGGAATTACAGGAATTACACAATGTTTCTGTAAATCATGTTATTCAATAGTCAATATTTTAAATCTTCTACTTAGCAGAATTAAAATAGAATTTGTTATAATTCAGTTACATCACTTCAAATGATGCAAGGTTTGGATCTATTTTTAAAAACATGGATTAAGATAACTTTGTTGTGGAATGGAATTGTGAAAGTGAGTTTTGTGATGTTAACTTCTACTTTTAAACTCACTCTTCCAAGGCACAGAATTTCTAGTGGTAGTTAGTTTTTAAAAATAAGTCACATGAAGTGAGATTCTTTCTTTAATACAAGATGTAGATTTGCCCTTGTGTACATTTTTTCAAACAGTAGCTCAGGAATGTTCATATTATAAATCAGTGTGTAATGAATTACTAGAAATTATATATTACATTAGTTATTGTACATCATTTAACTCGTTTTACAAATACCTTGAATAATTTGTAAATGACTAAATATTTTAATAACATGAATAATGTTTGAATTATGTCAGTTGTATTTTCATATTGTTTGAATTATATTGCTTTAGTATGCTTATTTTCAAAGCAGGATTCTTCAAATAAAGAAATGTAGTTATAGATAAAATTGTAAAATTCAAGAACAGTGCAAAAAGTTTAATATTCAAATCAGTAGTACAGAATTATACATCATTTTCTCATAACAGTGATTCAGATAAAATATATATCATATAAATATAATGTATGGAAAATAAATGAAATTATTATAATAAACAGGCCAACTAATGAGATGTATCATACAATATTTAATATTGTAGCTTCTTAAACAAATACTATCAAATTCCATGATTACTTATAAAAATCTGTATATTACTTGATACTTGATCTTCAATATCTATATTCCAATTTCAACCTAGCCAGGTGGTAGTTTTAGGGTCAGCATTAATATAAGGGCATATTGTTAAACTTTACATCCCATTGAATTAGAAAAACAGTCATTTATTTGTATTATTCATCTTTTTTTTTTTCAAAAATAGCAACTTTTGTTCTTTTTCTACCAAATCTATTGCCTGGTATGGGAAATCTTCCTTCCAAGCTTAGATATAGTAAATAATATGAGAATTTTAATTATTACTTTGCTTCTTTTGGCTATTGAACAAACTCCAGCCAAAACTGTTTCAGACCACAACCACAATTCACTGAGGCATATTGTATGTTGAAATTGTTTTGTTTAACTAGAACGTTCTTTCTTGCTTAAGATAAAATTGATTGAAAAAAATGCTCTAGATATTAACTGTGTTATTTAAAAATATTTGAACTTATGCGAATAAAATATTTGTATACACATATAGAGATGATCAAATTAAAACAAACATTTTAGCAATTTTCAAATATTACTTTAAATGAAAGTGTTTAAGGCATATTGTTTATCATACTATTTTGCAGTAAAACCTGACCCTCCATTATGTCTGCATGTTGAAATGGCAGATACGGGACAAATAAAAATCTCTTGGTCTCAGCCAGCATCCAAATCCAATTTATTTCTATACGAAGTGAAATGTTTTACAAATTCAACTAAAAGTTTTCAACAGGTGAGACAAATTCGTTATTCTGAGTCTCTTATAAAATAGGTTTAAGAGTTACTGTAAATTTGGCAAGCTTAATTTAACGATCCTACATTTCTTAGAAACTGAAAAATGAACTATGCAATAAAAATGGTTATTTAGTAAATGGAGAATAACACATAGTTTTCTTGAACCTTTGAATTTACATTTGGGAGCAGCAAGATAGAATAAACAGGAAATACATGTTGTCAGATCACTACACAAACCACATGTTTTAGATATTTGTAGCCGGCTTCCATTATGTTTTCATTATAATGGTTTGTACTGGATACCTGTGCATTGAAATGATTAAAATCAACAAACCTAATACTTCAAAATAAAAGGAATTTAATTATGTTTCACTTTCATTGGATTATACATGTAGTCCTTGATTTACAACAGTTCATTTAGTGATCGTTCAAAGTTACAGCAACACTGAAAAAAGTGACTTATGACTATTTTTCACACTTCTGACCATTACAGTACTCTTATGGTCATATGATTTACATTTGGATGCTTGCCAGCTGGTTCATATTTATGATGGTTGCAGTATCCTGGTGTCATATAATCACCTTTTGCAACCTTCTGACAAGCAAAGAAAATGGGGAAGCCAGATTCACTTAACAACCATGTTAGTAATTTAACAACTTCAGTGATTCACTTAACAAATGTGACAAGAAAAGTCATAAAATGGAGCAAAACTCATTTACCAAATTTCTCACTTAACAACATAAATTTTGGGCTCAATTGTGGGTCATAAGTGGAGGACTACCTGCATTTCATTAGCTCACAATGCAAGCACTAAAGCATACTTTTAAGTGAGATGCAATGGGATTACAATCTACTTTCCCAATTGCGTGCACAAAATACTACTCCTTAGATGTAGTTTAAACCTGTTTGAGATTTGGCATGGAATTGTCTAGGAAGCAAGTTTTATGTGCATATGTGAAAGGTTGCACAACAGAGGTGGTATTTAGCAGGTTCTTACCACTTCTGGAGAACTGGTAGTGGAAATTTTGAGTAGTTTGGAGAACTGGTAAATACCACTTGACTGGCCCCGCCCCCATCTATTCTCTGCCTCCCGAGTCCCAGCTGATCAGGAGGAAATGGGGATTTTGCTGGAGTGGGGTGGGAATGGAGATTTTACAGTATTCTCTTGCCACGCCCACCAATCCACTCCTACAGAACCGGTAGTAAAAATTTTTTTTGAATCCCACCACTGTTGCACAATCCTCTCTATTTTCATTTTGTATTACTGAATGCATTTTCTATGAACCAAATTGGAAGGGGACAATATCCCCATGAAGTGTATGTATATAACATTTGCATTCTGGATACATAAACATCAGGTGTTAAAAACAAGAAATAAACCCTTTTTTGTTTTTTATTAGCTTCATTTTATCATCTCTGATTTTATTTTATTTTTAAGTTAATTCAGTGAAAGAATGGCATTATTCTTATTATATTATTTTTTAAAAAACAATTTAATAGGTGGCTGAAATTACCATGGGAACATCGCTGACCATAAATAATGAATTACTCGCATCTTCATATATAATTCAGGTTCGGTGCAAGAACCATAAGGAATTAGGTCTTTGGAGTGATTGGAGCTCACCTTTTATCATGGATCTACAAGGTACATTCACATTAAAATGTTATTAATCCAGAATATTAGTTAATTTTTTGACTGCTTTGAAAAATATAAAGCCACTTGTGTGTGGGGGTGTGTTATACAATTTGAAGTACCTATAGTAAAAACAAAAGTTTAGGTTCAAATTTGCCACGATATAGGCAATTTTATGCATGGAATTATAGTCCATAGTATTTGAAATCAGAGTATCTTTCTTGTAAAAATACCATGGACTATGATTCAAATGAATTTTCAATGTAGTCTTAATTTGGATAAATAGAGATTTTATTCTAAATAGTTGAAATATTTAAAATAAATTTGTATTTGTATAATTTTGAAAATAGTAATAAGTTTGGGGTATTGTCTTTTATAACAAAGGAGGAAGAGAATATGTGATTCAGGGATGTCCAACCCATAGCCCATGGCCTTCATGTGACCCCACAACTTTTAATATTATTATGTGATTTTATTTACATCAACTATATTATATATTTTGTATGTGGCCCAAGATAATTCCTCTTCATTCAGTGCAGCCCAGGCAAGCCAAAAGCTTGGATGCTCATGATCTAATCTGAGGGAGGAGTGGCTTTTTATTGTGTTGAAATGTGAAACTTGATTAATGAGGAAAGAATTATAAAGTAGATTACAAAGTAAGTAAAAAAGTAACATGGGAAACGAGTTGTTAAAAATCCCAACATTTGTGGTTGTTTTTATAAAGAATAATGTTATAAGAAATATTTAAAATATTATAATGTTTGTTTCTTTTGTTTGTAATAGATGTCATGTATTTCCCTTCTAAACTCCTAGCAAGTGTTGGAACAAACGTTTCTTTATATTGTGTTTATAAAACCAAAGACAAAATGATCTCATCAAAGAAGATAGTGTGGTGGTTGAATTTAGCAAAAGAAATCTCAAGTAGCCAGTACACTTTTGTGAATGACTACACTAGCAAAGTTACACTTACCAACTTGCCTGCAATGAAGCCTGGAGGAAAATTTCTTTTTAATGCTTTATACTGTTGTAATGAAAATAAGGAATGTAATCATCGTTATGCTGAACTATACATAATAGGTAATATATCAGATTGTTTCTACAAATATAAATGTTAATGACCCCTTATTCTTTGTTCGCATATTCACTAATGCTGTCTTTCAAATAGATGCTAATATCAATATCACATGTGAAACTTATGGCAACTTACAAAAAATGACCTGTTCCTGGTCCATCAACCCAGATCCAATACTTTTGGAAAGTACTTTGCTGTTAAGATACTACAGGTATACGTTCATTTCAATATAGTATTTTTGAAAAGCTATTTCTTTCAGAGCTTAAGTTAGTACAGGGTTGAGGAAAATCTTATACAGTGATACGGAACTGTTCATTGAAAGAAAGGTTGGATATGATTTAAGTGGGAAAAACTGAATTCTGTGCCCTTTCAAAAAGACTTTTCAAATCTGATAGTCTGAGGTGAGTTCAACTCTCAAAATTTCAGAGAACATGGTTAAACATAATTTAGAATTATCTTGGAATTACAGCATCACTAATTCTAATGGAAGCTTGGGCTAGAAATTGTAGCTTTGACCGGCATTCTTTATTATATTCCCTCATCACTTACAGTATTAGAGCTTAATAGCAGTTTGAGAGCGAATATATGATGCACACATTAAGTTCCCAAATTTTGATTTTTAAACAGCAGAGGTAGAGATATTTTGTGACCCTTTTGATTTTGAAATTCAGCCCTATAAATACCAACATACATTACAATTTTTATTCATGATACTGCTTCTTGCACTCTGGCCATAATCCTTGATGTAATAGTGCTAATTTTGTTGACTTTCTAGAGTAAGGTGACTAGACGTCCCGCTTTTGTCAGGACAGTCCCGATTTTTAACAATTTGTCCCGCATCCCGCGGTGTTTTTAAAAAGTCCTGATTTTTAATCAAGAACACCCCCCCCCCCGGTCAATGGTGTCCCGTTTTACCAATGTTAAAATCTGGTCACCTTATTCTAGAGGTGAAAGATATTAAAAAGTATTCAATTTAATAAATTACTAATTGGATTGCAACCATCCACTGCTGACATGTTCCTCCTATCAAGATAATTCATTGCATCTTGGGACATGTCCATATAGTTTCCATGCAATTAAAGATGTATTTTGCCATTACCTCCTGCAGTATTTTTTTAAATATACCAATCTTGCTGTACCATTGATATTCCATGTAGGTCAAACCAGACCCAATCTTGCATAGGTATTGAACCAACAGCAGGTCAACTAGGTGCTACCACTTGCTGAGGCAGTACTTTCCTTTGGGCCAACAAAAATGGCACCATCAAGATATTATAAAATTATTACAAGCTCCATATTAACTTTTTGGTCAAATGGTGATCAACTGTACTTAATCTTATGGAACTTATCCTACTACCCATTTGCAGTTCTCTCTGTTCCTTTGGAGTCACATATTGGTTTAGTGAAAGCAGTGCCTCGTCAACTTGTATGTAATGGATATGATTCTGTAAACTTTATAAAGTTCTCCACAGGTCTTTGTGCAAATATATAACTCATATGTAAATTTAATGTATGGATATCAGTTTAAAGAACTATCACTTTTTAAAATAACCAGTTTACCAGTTTGGGTAACGAGTTTAATTGTCTGGGGTATGAATTAAGCTACCAAATTTTGTGTTACTTGCAGATTTGATAACCCTAGCTTTATTAATTCAATTCAGTCATGAACATAGTTTGCCAAGATTATTCTTTGGGCTTAGGTTACTTAATCCAACTTTTCTAGGGGAACATAATCTATTAAAGAATGTAACATACTGTAGTACCCAATGTTCTTGGATCCTCAAGTCTTCCTCTTATACAAAACCTGTCCTTTCTGAAAAATAGTGTTTATTTGTATTTATTTATTAGGAAATGTATTTTTTAACATTTTGTGTTGTAAGCCACCCAGTGTCATTGAACACAAGATGGTGGCAAATATATTTCATAAATAAATAAATAAATAAATAAATAAATAAATAAATAAATAAATAAATAATCATTCCCTCTATCATCATCGAAGAAAAGGATTAGGAGAAGTGACCCTTGGGTATCTTAATTCTTAATTTATTCTAATGTGAATCAATCCAATAGTGTGCTTCCTCATCTGCTACTTGTTAGTTCTAAACAACATCTGCTGACCAGAGCTCCTATATAATGTATTCTGGGGCAGATAACCTGGTGGTCAATCACGGAGTGACACTTTTAACAAATAAGTCATATAACATGGTGACCAGAAGCATCCACAGGATCTAATTCTGTCTTGAAAATATTGAAAGCTGCTTTCATAATTTGCCTTCCCTTGATCTTCCTGCGGACATTTCTGGTAGTAACTAAGTGTTGTAAATTCAAATCTGGCTTAACTGTGAAGACCTCTGAACTATCTTGTCTTAGTCATTGTCTCGCAGCCTAATATACTCATAGTTTTATTGTTAAGCTTCAAATACAATTTTGAGCATCTTAGAGGAAAAAAATGAGTTTCATTTAAAATCAATAAATTTAGTCTGAGGTCTTTGCCAGGGAAAGGAGTGCGTATTACATTTGGCTTAAGGCTCCTTGGCTCAGTATTGTGGCAGCATTGGATATTAGCTTTTGCAAAGTGCTGTTCAAATCACCTTCCTTTCCTCAATCTCTGTTTCCCATTCTCAAAATGAGATTAATATTGAACTGTTTCTTAGAGTCATTGTGAAGATGAACAAGAATAAGTTTTACAAAGTTCCTTGTGTGCTAGAAGTGATCTCTGTCTCTCTTTTCTAATGGCAATATGGCATATTCCCCTTAATTATCTTTATTCATGTGTACACTTTCACATAGAGTGATTATGTCACCAGTCAGTGCTATGGAACCAATAATTCAATTTCCCACCCCTCCATCCCCAAAGTCTACAAAAGAAAGAGAAAACATGAATGAAAGCAAACATATTATGTACCTGTCACTTTTAGTTTTTCATTAACGCAGAGAGAAACTAGATTGATAACAGCAGTTCCTTTCTTTAGTGTGTAGTATCTTGTAGAGACATTTATTCATTTCCTCACAGATCCTATTAGTTATCAGTATCAGCATTCCCACTGATTTTAGCAGGCTTTACATCAAACTGTGAGGCTTATTTTTTTCCTGGTGAATTGCCAAAAAGTAAATATAAAATTGGATGACCTACCTATTTTCAAAGAGACTCAAAATCTGTGGCTTGGTTAAAGAGGCAATATCTTTCATGACTAATAACAACAATCAAGTAATCAATCATGAGTACACCAGCTGTGTGTACTCAGGTTCTGGTAATATGACACATGCTAAATGTCTTCCAGTACTTCACATAATTGACTTCCCATCTGACTGAAATGGCAGTATGGAGAAACTCAGCCTCAAATGTAATGATGAAGCCAGTAGCCTCAGACTTTATAGCAAAATGTGTATAGTTAGAATGAGCTTCAGGCTTGTTAGTTCATTAGACTTGATACAATGGTGCTGATGATCTAAAATGAGAAATTCTGAGATGCAAACAGATTTTCCAGGCATTTGCCTAAGGATGTTGTTTACATCTTAATATACTATAAAATATAGCTTTATTTCAGGGAGATGTGCTGAAATAACATTTAATGACATATACATTTTATAATTTTACATAAATAAAATTATTTGTTCTAGGTGAGTAAGCTGAAATAGTTAATTCCAACTTTTGTAATTAAAAAGTTAATAAACTGCAGGTTATGTGAAGACTACTTTTTATCATTTACATTCTTTTTTATGAAGAAGCTATATTACAGTATTTATGTGATCTCAAGTGCCAGGTTTAAATAAGTACTATTTTTTTGTTATTTTAAGGAATGACATATACTGTTCAGAATCTCCGAGCATGCATTCAGATTCAGAGGTGAAAGAATGCAATTTGCTGAGGAATAATGTTTATGAGTGCATCTTTCAGCCCTTTTATCTTCTGTCCGGATACACTATGTGGATAGAGATTAAGCACTCACTGGGAACAGTTACATCAAGGCCAGTATGTGTCCTTCCAAAAGAAGTAGGTAAGTGAAAGGGATTTCCAACATTGGACTATGGCCTAAATTGATTTGAAGATATCATGGGTCTTCTTCTCCAACTCCTGCTCCAACTCTTCCTTTTTCTTCTTTTTTGTTATCTTTACAGTACAAGAACCAGGGGGAGGGAAGATTGACACGGGCTTGTGTTTTTACATCATACCCCCCCTTTTTTGGGGGGGGGTGCTTTCAAGTCACAGTTGACTCTGATTTGTGCTTGAACAAATCTCAGTAGTATTTTTGTCAAGGCTTTCAGAAGTGGTTTGCCTGTGTCTACTTTTTAGGGCTGAGAGGGAATGACTAGCCCAAGGTCATCCAACTGTCTTTGTGCTTTCTCTCTCCCAATTTCTATCCTGATAACTTAACCACTACACCAAACTGACTTTCTTGTGACAAAGACTACTTTACATATTATAACATACTGTATCCCAAAGAGGCAGAGCCTGAGTTTTGATTTTGAAATGATGGCTGCTATTGTTGAATCTGCATGTTATACTGTACATGTTCAAATATAACTTTTTAAGGGCTTGCAACAAATTTCATTTCCAAGGAAAGGCAGTTTGCAAAACAGCTTTTTAAATGTATCAATGAAAGGGAAATAAAAACTCTAGGTTTTTGCCTCCCTTTTAAGATGTATGTAATACAGCTAATGCAAGCTGCAACACAACATTCCTTTTAATATGTACCCTGTATTTCAATCTGTAATTATAAAAATGTAATTGCTGCTGCTTACATATATACTATTGGGTTGAATTTTTTCCCTATTTTTTCATATTCCACCTCCAAAGTATTCCTTTCAATTGGCCATTTTAATTATTTGGTCAGACTATGAGATAGCTGTTTTTATTAAAACTGAAATAAAATTAAATGCATATGAAATTGCAATGAATTATCAGGCCTTGTAATAAACATTTAAAATAGGTTTTCATTTTTAAAATGTTTATTTTATTACATTTCCATGTGGATAGATAGGAAGGTGATGTATAGAACAGATTATTCTGGCTCAAGAATCATATTACAGGATTCAATAACAAGATCATAAGGCCTTGTATAGTCATTGGTTTTGGAGATTCTGTTTGGTTGCAGCTACATATAGGACAAAGGCTGCAGTGTTGTTTGCTCCTTCCACCTTTAAGCAGCATATGAAAGATTCCTCATTTTAACATCAAAAAAGAGGTGTGTGTGTGTATAGGAGTAATTAAACTTCTCTTTGTCTCCAGCTTTACCTGCCTACAGTCCTTTATTCTGAGCATTTTCCTTCTTATGGATCTCCGGTATTATGAATGAGTCAGTCTGCTGGGAAGGTGGTGAAGAATGAGAAAATGGGAAAATGATGTGTTATAAGAGGGGGGGGGGAGAATACGTATTTACTTTATAAATCTATCCCATTGCCCTCAACAGGCCTGAGATTATGGTTACTTTCTAGTATTGCTGAAGATTAGCAACCATTGCTGTGATTTCCTGAGCAGTTTGAACCAATCATCTTTACTGAACAGGTTTAAACATGTTGCATTTCTAAAAGCCACAAAAAAGAATTGGCTTCCTTATTAAATTATTGTAAAATTTACTTAAAATTAACTTGAAAACAAAATGATTTCTAATTAGATCTTGCATAGGGTGATCAGACGTCCCGCATCTGGTGGGACAGGCACGCCTTTTCATAATTTTTCCCATGTCCCGGGCCGTTCTAGGAAACCCCCGCTTTATTTTGGGGCTCGCTCGCTCCCCCGCCCATCAGCTGCCTCTAGCTCGCTCGTTAGTTCCCCCATCTATTTCTAAAAATCTAAGCCAGCCCATCCTGCCGCTCACTGATTGGCTGGAGTCCACTTAGCACGCCACATGAGTCGCAGGAGTCTCCACTTCATTTCGCCTTCGCAGCCGTTTGCTTCACTGGTGAGTAACTGGGAATTAGTAACCTGTGCGGGGTTAGTGAAACAGCCGCCGCTGCCCTCCTCCCCTTCCCTGTCTGCGAGAAAGGGGCCCGCTCGCCAGCCCGCCCACCCTTGGGCTCCGGAGGCAGCACCTTCCCAGCACCGCCGGGCTGGTTCCTTCGCGCCCCTCCCACCTCTCTGCCTCCTAAGACCTCCACGCAAGAGCAGCGGAGCAAACGAGCGGCCACGGCCGTCATTTTAAATGAGGCTCCGCTCGCTGCTCATCCTGCTCCGAGTCTGGAAAAGGGTGCTTTGGCAGGGCTTCCGCAGTGCCCCCAAGGACCACCATGTGAGGTCAGCGGCAGCAGTGGCTGCTGCTGCTTCTGCTGAGGGCCCTGCATGGGGTTAGTGAAACCGCCGCCGCCGCCCTCCTCCCCTTCCCTGTGTGTGAGAAAGGTACCCGCTCGCCAGCCCGCCCACCCTTGGGCTCCGGGGGCAGCACCTTCCCAGCACCACCGCTGCCATGCTGCTTCCTTCGCGCCCTGCGGAGTTTCCCTGTGTCTCCCAGGTCGCGCCCATCCTGTGTGCGAGAAACTCCGCAGGGCATGAAGGAAGCAGCGCGGCAGCAGCGGCGCTGGGGAGGTGCTACCCCTGGAGCCCAAGGTTGGGTGGGCAGGCTGGCGAGTGGGCGCCTTTCCCTGTGTCTCCCAGGTCGCGCCCATCCTGTGTGCGAGAAACTCCGCAGGGCATGAAGGAAGCAGCGCGGCAGCAGCGGCGCTGGGGAGGTGCTACCCCTGGAGCCCAAGGTTGGGTGGGCAGGCTGGCGAGTGGGCGCCTTTCCCTGTGTCTCCCAGGTCGCGCCCATCCTGTGTGCGAGAAACTCCGCAGGGCATGAAGGAAGCAGCGCGGCAGCAGCGGCGCTGGGGAGGAGCTATCCCTGGAGCCCCAGGTTGGGTGGGCAGGCTGGCGAGTGGGCGCCTTTCCCTGTGTCTCCCAGGTCGCGCCCATCCTGTGTGCGAGAAACTCCGCAGGGCATGAAGGAAGCAGCGCGGCAGCAGCGGCGCTGGGGAGGTGCTACCCCTGGAGCCCAAGGTTGGGTGGGCAGGCTGGCGAGTGGGCGCCTTTCCCTGTGTCTCCCAGGTTGCGCCTGTCCTGTGTGTGAGAAAGCCATCCGGGGCGGCT